TTTTTTTCGGCAAACATTCATTCTTCCCTTTTGTCTAGCTTTTAGGTGTTGACGGGTTCGAGTCGGCGTTAAGCAACAAAAAAGAACTCTTGATTTCTGCGGTTTGCTTTCATGGTCTTGCTTGGATTGCTTGATTCTGTTTGGGGTGTTGTTTCTTCGGGTTTTTCCTTTCTTTTCAATTTCGTTTAGGACCGTTTGGGTGGGTAGGGTTTGCTTGCTTCACTTGGGTCGTTACCTCGTTGGTGTCTGTCTAGTCTGGGTCTGCTACTACTGCTACTGTATGTCTGGTCTGTCTGTGTCTGTCTTGGGCGTGGGGTTTGGACGTTAGGTGTCTGTTGCTACTACTTCGATCGTATTTGCTGCTTTCTTCCATCTGTCATCATCTTAGTTCATTGGGATTACATCATTAGCGGCGAATGTGTGGAGTTTTGCAATGGCGTACAGTTAGTAGTATTGATTTTAACACCGCATGTATTCGTGTAGGTATGCTTAGTCTGAGATCTGGAATTGTTAAAAGTTTCGCATTTGCATTTTGGCTGGTGTTTTTTTTTCCTTTGGGGATTTGTGATATTTTAGACACTCCAGACTTTTACTGGCGGATGAATCTTTTTCCAGATGTACGTATTTTTTCGGACATAGAGCCTGTGGCTTTTCATTTCAATCAGTTAGCGGTTACGTAAAGATTGAATGCTCGTGTGATCTCGCGTGACCTCGGTCAACTCACACGTAAAAGTTTACTCATTTCTCCACTATCACTAGAGAACAGTGCTGACTGGCTCTACAATGAGTCCTGTTTCCATATTGTATAAAAGAATGTACAATACGGGACATAAGAATGCCATGTCTTCCACCACCTTTAATCTATCCAAGAATGTCACATCGTCCATCCCTACCCGTTCACCCCATATCTCAAAGCCCCCTGAGGCCATCTACCTTTTCCAACATTATAACACTGTAAACTAACTATTTCCACCTCCGTAGCAACAGCACGACCAGCTCCAACCTCACCATCCTGTAACTTAAACCTATAGCTCCGACCAGAACTTGGATTCAGCTTGAATATCATCCGGGGGGGGGGGGGGGGGGGGTGCGAAAGAAAGTTGGAATCGGGCAAACATGGAGTATCACTCGATGGTTTGGATTATCTGACCATGGGGAGGGGGTTGGAATTTCTTTTTGTTCTTCTTTTTTTTTTTTTTTTTTTTTTTGGGGGGGGGATATGGAAGGTGTGTTTGGGGGTGGGTATGATGTGTTTGGTGGGTTGGTCTGTTGGTTTGGATTATTGGTTTGGATTATTGGTTGAGTGAGCTGGAGGGGTTTTTTTTGGTGATTTGATGATGAAGGTAACTGGGCGAGGAGAACTTTGAGGTTGTGAGAGGTTTCTTGGAGTTGGATTGGTAGGATGGATAATGGGGTTAGTGTGGTTTAATGAGATGGGGAGGATGGTTTGTGGATTATTTGGTGGCGGTGGAAGGGGAGTAGTGATGAGATGGGGATAAGAGATTGGGGGTATGGGATTATGCAATGATGGTTACTTCTGAGGATTGATTATTTTTTGACCTGGGATTGTGATGGGGGAGTTTGAAGATGGGTATGTGATTAAGATCTCAGATATCATCATTGGGGAAGAGGAATAGGATCATAAAAGGATGTAGATACCTACCTAGAAAAATAGGTAGCTTGGGATATATGAATACATCACGGTTCTCAGTTCTGGATAGACTTGATGTTGATAAGGTATATAGCAGTGAATGATAATTACTGTGTGCCTATTTGCAAATGAATATACTGAGCAGTGGGCTACAAGGTTAAAGATTGCTCGTTTGGAGTATTGGTTTGAATTATATGAGGAAGAATTAACATACTGCTGTGCTACTGCGGGTGTAAGATAGTTATACAGTACAGGGTTTTTTATTTTTTTGTTTTTTTGAAAAGAGAATGCATATAAGATAGAACTTCTTGGATTCATTGAATTAAATGAACCCGTTGGTCTTTTTGAATAATAAGACGCTGTCATATATAATAAACTCTAAACATAGCAGGTATACAGCAATAATAATGACAATATACAAAGCTCGCCCGTTTATTTTCTTGATCAATTCTTCCGGAATAATATGAAGCGAAGACTACACAGGTAACGAATTCTTGATACTGATCATACAAAGCTGACTGGACAGCCAGACCAACGACACAACGTCATCACTCCGGCTCCAGGAAACGCCACCTTGCCCAACCTCTCATCTAGCACCCGTCACCACTGACATCATATCATCCTTAACCGCCATCCAGAACCATCACAAGCACCGAGAACCGCTCTTTCTCCGTCAGCACAGCAACAAGTCATATCTTAATTCTAATACGCCCATTCACCCCCGGGGTTTGTAGTTCAATTGGTTAGAACACGGTCACTTAGCATGCTTAGGGGCCGTATGTGGGTTCGAGTCCCACCAAACCCATCGTTTTGCTTCTTTTTTACAGTCCGAGTCCTAAGTCATCATGATTACTTCATATATGATTATCATGAATTTTTGTATTTCTTTCGTGGCGCAGGGGAATAAAATTGATAATATCTAGAACATGCTCTTGGATCTATGATAGTCTACATTAAATAATACGCTGCTGTTTGTGGACTGTTGATGCATGATCTGAGCGGTATGAGATAGATCGTGATGTGTAACGTAGGCATGGGTGGTATCACGTGGTGGTGGTTGATGCCTGCTAATTATATGACCATGTTTGTACTGTTAATCGGTTCGAGTAAATAGTCGACGAAGGTACTATGAATATGAGTCCTCTGCGCTGTCATACACTTCAAATCACATACATGGTCACCTTCGCTGCACGCTTTGCGACATATGACATCACTCGTTTATATTTGCCTGGAGTGCAGATGGTTTGTTTTCTTTACCATTTGAGGAAATGTATCAGAAAGACACTTGAAATACGGCTTACCTGGGCTGTTATCTACATCAACCTCCTAAATTGTCGCCTTCCCAGCAAGAGAAACCAAATCCACTTTGACGATCATATACATGTGACATCACTCGGGTTTGAGCAAGGGTTTATGAACGAAGGACTCTAGAAGCAATACCATTACGCTCTGAAGACCCAAGATCCCGCAGAGTATAAAAAGTTGTACAATAAATATGATCTTCCACAGGTTATATAACTGACATACACTACCGTGAACGGTTGGTCCATTATTGATTAATCAAACCCCTGTTGTTATTTCAAAGTCTCTCGAAAATACAAAACGCTAACTTCCAAGAATAACTTTTGTAGCCAAGGCTTTCGACCAAGAATGGCACGATGAGACAAGAAATCATTGTCTTTTCACTTTTGTCAAACGGTTGTCCCATTTCAGGTTGTTACTTTGGCTCGTGGTTTCCATGCTTTCTGTCAAAACTCCATGATCACTGAACGCGGCACTCGTACTGTGGTGGAATCGAATATTTCATTATTATCACCAAGTGCAGTAATATTTGGCCTTGGTCTGCGAGGGTGAATCTAACAACTAATGTTTTGAAAATTGAAACATAGTCATCGGCGCGGTGTGGTTATCAAGGAGCGAGGAACGACAGGAGGATATGCGATTGCGGTCGGTCAGAATCCATCTAGTGTACTGTAGCAAGTTGGATTGCCGCCAAGATACCTCATCGACAATTGCACTGTGTAGTTATAGATACTGTTGAATGTGCTGGAGGTAGGTGTAGTCTGTAGATGAAGGACTATGCTGAGAAACTTCCTTCCAACCAGTCGCACAGGAGAGCAGCAAGCAAGAAAAGTGTAGTTGATTTTCCTTGCGGAACGGTTTTGTGAGTTTATATATTATAACAAGCTAGGTAAAGCACTCTTAAGCCTCCCCAGATACACAGAGAAAATGTACCAAACGTGCTTGGGATTCTAAAACGGTATTGTTTATGTTTTATAGTAATGTTAGGTTTCAAAGTTATTTACTATTGACGCGCAGAAGTTTAGCAGGATAAAGCAGCGGAGGCCGATGAATGGAATTGTAGAAGGAAGGGTTGCATGATCACCAGGGACGTTAGATTGGAGTGGGTTTCATCTTTCGCACATTACATCGGAGGCAATGCATAGGTATAATGTATTGAAAACTAAACAGCTCGTAGAGTGTCAAACAGAGAAAGTATATGAAACCACACAGGTCGAGCTATGATATCTGGATGATATTTGGACCGCAGAATGCTTAGGGCAGCCTTATTATATTGGACTGAAAAAAGGAAAGCGTTCAAAAGTGCTCGTTAGCGGGTGTGTCTATTGCGGTGAGAGCCCGACAGAAACAACCAGCAAAGAAATTCAGTCGAATATCATGGCAGCAGTCTGTGATCTTGCCAATTATTGGGAAAACTATCATAAGTATCACCAGTAGCAAACTTATGTCCGTATCCATCAAATTGCAATGCTCGTATTACTTACTTCACCCGGCCAATGAAAAATTCAGAGGAAGGCTAAAAACTGTAGTATTTGGTAGTAAAATAACAAAATTTCCAAGACATCTCCTCTGATGCCCACATCTTATGGCAAATTCAGGTGAATGTAATCGAGTGATTCGGCATGAAGCAGGCTTGCACCGGAAAGGTGATCATGACTGCGAGCCGAAGTGGACGACAGCCCAGGGAGTTCAACTGCAAGTAACCATTAAAATTTTTCGCTCTGGTTAATAAAGTACATCTGCCATTCAAACAGTGACTTGGACAGCAGGCACTCACCACCATCACGTGATACCGCCTGCGTTTACGTCATACATCACGATTTGTTTTTTTCTTGTGACGTCAGAGGTCGAAATTGACCGAAAATTATTCATGAGAGTGTGTGGTTAAACATTAATAACTAGAGATATTTTGACTTCAGTTGAAAGGCGTAGAGATTTCAAATTAGATTCTCGCGCGCCGCGAATGACGTGCAGAAGTTCGTGGCATTCACGGGGAAGGTAGGTATGCCATATCTAACTGTGTTTTGAAAAGAAGAATCAAAAAAGATGGGTTTGGTAGGAGTCGAACCTACATGCCGGCTCTATACATGTACAGTGACCGTGTTCTAACCAATTGAACTACAAGCTCCCAGTGATAAAACAGATTGCTTAAACTAGAATATAATTTGCTGCTGTGCTAATAGACGGAGTTCGGCACTCGGTGCTTGAAGTAGTGCTAGATGGTGTCGAAAGAAGGTATGATGTCATTGGTTTCGGGTCCGAGATACGGGAAGATGAGCCGCAGTGATGTTGTTCTTTCGTATATATGCTTATCCAAACGAAGCAACTAACGTTTTACCTAGATAGATTGAAACCCATTGAGGATCAACGTGGTTATGAATACAGGAATGAATGTTAGAGTTAAAGCTCAGAAATTCTGTGTGTCCGGGGTTTGTAATGTTTGAAGCATTCAGTTTATATGGTTGTTGTTATTTTGCGATTGTTGGAAGATACTTGAAATCGTAGAATTGGTTAAGACCCTTTTTTCACGGAACAACAGGCCTTTTGGGCTTTATTATTTGAAAAATGCGTTTCAATGCGGATTGCCTCTCTAATTAATTAATTGTCATACATTACCCGACAAAAATTCAAGAAAATAGCCTAATGGAGTGCAGTACAATAATGGATCACAGGAGGATTACATGGTGCAGTAGATCTTCAGAATAATGATATCAAAGGCGGGTACACGCAATTTTGATACTATACTGCAGGGGTGTTGAAAGCGTCAGATGGGGGCCGTAGTTTGAAGGGAGCACTAGTACTCTACATACTTCTTTGTAGGGCTGCTAAGAGGAAGGTCGTCTCATGCCCACCACTGATGCCAAGCTCAATCTGAATTACTCACGTGGAAGCTATATCAGTCATGACAATGTAACAACTTTTCAATCCTTTTATAATCTACAGAACGAAAAAGCCGCAGAAATAACGGATCTTTCATGATCCTTTGGCCATTCATTCTACCTAACCGGGTGAGTTAAGAAGTTGATTGCTACTCATGAAGAACCATACGAACGAAAGGAAATCTCCACTCCGGCTCAAGGAAACAACACCACCCAAATTTCGCATCTGCAACCACTGACATCATATCGTTTCCTACCGCCATCCCAAACCGCCGCCAGCTCCGAGAACCGATCTTTCTCCGTCAGCACAGCAGTGGATTATATTCCAGTTGCAATACGCTCTTTCACCCCCGGGGTTTGTAGTTCAATTGGTTAGAATACGGTCACTTAGCATGCTTAGGGGCCGTATGTGGGTTCGAGTCCCACCAAACCCATCTTTTTGTTTCTTTTCTCAGCAAAAACCCTTCAAGTCATAATAACTTCACATATGACTGTCAGGAACCTTTTGATTTTATTTGTAGCTTATGGGGATACGATGTGGAATTTATGCGGAATGCTACTGGATACAGCACATACATAGTTATTGAAGTCAAGTTACACTACTCTGATATGCACATGAATACAGTGTAGCAGACGTTGATGCGCGGCGTCACGAAAAAAACAGATAGATCGCGATGCATGACGTCGACACGGGTGATATCACGTGATGGCGGTTAATACTCGCTTATTATGCAACCGTACAGAAGTTTTGTTTTCTGTACCACAAACGCTGTTAATACAACTCCTCTCATCTGTGATTTATTCCCACTCACATACATTGTCGCTTTCCCGGTATGCTCTGGAGACATTGCATATCACTCGTTTGTGTTTGCGTTTAACTCACGATCAGTTTTGGGCATGAAGCGCCCTATATGGGCCTTTTAACCTTCGGTTATCTCATCTAAATATATGCAAATATATGCTCTTCAAAATGTGGCTTGTCATACAAAAATATCATTTTGGTTGAAGCTAAGCAACAGGCTAGAGACAACGTCCGAGTTGCTTCAAGTGTATGATGTGATGATGCAAGTCATTCTGGGGTAGGTTCTCTGAAATAGCCTCAGCCACGCTAATACCATATAGTAAATTCTGTAGTGCTAGGCTTGCTCTACACTTTTCATCGACAAAGTGAAGGGACTACGATAATCCAGAATCTACTACGCTTCTACTTTGTGTATTTGCGAAGGATTTCAAGCGTATTATCTAGCTAGTTGGATCCAGCTTCCCTTTGAACTCTCTCTACAGTACACTATATTATGAAACGATTTGTGTACCATAGATTGTTATCGAGGACTCTTGAAACTTATATCGATTGAATAACGCTCCATGATTCAATATTGTAGCCTTGCTGAGGCCTGCTCCGGTAGCCCTGACGTTGAGCTCCAAATTTTGACTGGAATCTTAAAAATTAGTACCTATTTTCGATTCATCATTCAAAACGGAATATTAGACTTCAGGTTCCAATGAATTTTCTCGATGTCAATCATTCGAGTGATGAATAATGACTAGCTCTACTCGTTAAGTAACTCGTTGCCACCTACTCAGTACTAGCAGCCTTATGCATCCCTACTGCAGCCTTATCCTACATTCCAGTTGTCGTCTGCGCTACCGTGCCAGTGCGGGGTAGGGCATATTTCCGGCATTCTCATCTAGGGTGGAGCAAATTAACAATTTTATCCGATCTACAGGATAATTTGAGTTGTAAGCCACTTGTATGACACTTACGTTGGTGAGTATAGTCCCTAAGACCTCGGAGTCTGAAAATAGCATGAAATTTCACCAATCATAATCATGAAATCAGCCACTGTAGATACCAGCCAATGAATAGGTGTTTCTTCATAGGGATGTTGAAAATGGCTTCCAGAAGGTTGGAAAGTGGGAAGAAGATCTCAAACAATGAATTCATCGCGTAAGATTTGTTGTGTATTGTTGCTGTAGAAAGAGGATGTTCTACCCATTTCATACCCAGAATTGAAATCCCCGTCCCCAAATTGGAGGAATTGCCGGAAAGATCTGCCTCTAGGATGGTGAATTACTAATGCCTGCTAAAAGAGCTTCGAGAAGAACTCATCATCATTCGCTGTGTTTGAAATCTTCCCACATTCAACCTTGCATAAGGTTCCGATGTGTTCCCATTGGAGAATTTCATGTCACCAGGTACCAAGCAGTGGGAGGATTAATTCGGACCCGGAGTCTTACAAGCAGCCATTGTCTTACTGAATATCGGAAATGTATGTTTGACTCGTAATTTGAAGTGTCCATTTTAGAGCTGCAGATATATCTCATGATGCCCTGGTGTTTGAATAAACACTATCCTTTATTGCTGTTTTTATGATTGTGTACCTTCACATATTTAAGTAGTACATTCTCTCTTCGTATCCGGGACGTCCTTCGTACACTGTATCATTTGTACTCCATTTCGTATATATGTAGCTCGTGTCACCCGATAAAGTTCCACCTCATGGATCGGCCACTCCACACACCGCTTCGAGCCTTCGGCTTCTTGCATGATGGCGTACAGTCATTTGTACAGCTGTTGGTAGATAGTCATCTAAATCTACACCGAAATAGTAGCTCATCTCGCCCGTATGGCACAGCAAGCCCGGAGGCTGCGAGACATTTGATGAAGTCTGTGAATCCATCGATAATGAAATTGAGCAACAAAAGGAGATCGTAATGATGATACAAATAACAGCAGCTTGTTTTGATACAAGTAGTAAAGATAAATGTTTGGCGTCCGATGTTTCTCGTTCCTCTATGAGAGCTATACTCGACTCTAGCTGCCGGATGTTTTTTTTTTAGCGGTAGAGCTCTTCTTCACGTGGAAACCGCCATGTGTCGTGAGCTGTCGTCATTGTTTCCAATTCCCATCGACACCAACCCTAACAAAGAAAAGTCCCGCGCACGGCGACCGTAGAACCGAACCATAATTTCCATCCGCATCAGCGGTGCTGCTACATAACTCGGGGGCTGAGTTCCTCTGATTTCCTGGCATCTCGGTCTATTTGTTTTGGGAGCCCTCTGGCAAACTTCCTGACGAGCTCAAGCTGCTCGAGCTGTTTCTCCGGTTCCAGTCTCCGCAACTTTCGCGGCTGCTTCGTTCCTTTGCATGCGCCTTGTCCCCAATATGTAGAAGAGTAGACTTACCAATACCCGGCCACTACGCCGGCTAATGAGCCAAGTACCCCGCCATCATAGCCTCTTAATTTCGCGCGCACCGCGAAGAAAGCACCGGTGTGAATGGGGAAAAGCGTAAAAGCGTAAAAGCTGTGAAAGTAGGAGATGTTAAGTGAGGGAGGACGAGGTTCGCATCTATAGTTTCGAATTAGAAGTAAACTTTATCAAGTTTGTAGACTGTGTTACTTATATTCGGACTTTATCACACTTTGTCGAACTTCAAGTGGAGCAGCCGCTGTCAGGATTCTCCATCCCGGCTTTCCTCACCACTCGCTTCCATTCGCTGCTCGCTAGGTGTTAGTGGCTTCCTTGGTTCGCTTGATTCCTGACGGTGCGGACCCTTCGTACCTTCGTCACGACGGCGCCCAACGGCACAAATCGAGCTTTCCCTCGTTCTAACTCGAAGCTCCACCTCAACCTCCACATTTCTGTTGATTTGTCGAAGGACGGTGTTGATATTTTCTGGACTTTCCTTGACGGATCAGACAAGCTTCGACTTCAAACTCCAACTCACTGGATTGCGGATTCTGGACTTTGTGCACGCTCACTACCTTTTGCACGTTCGCTTCGACTCCTCGCTACCGCCACAGAGGCTTTGCACACTTTGCACGCTTTTCTGAGCAGTGACCGGAGCCCCCCCTCCCTGGGTTGGACAAAATTGAAGATCGACACCAAGAGACCTGGATCGCCCCGAAAAGTCGCAAATTGCGGTCAGAGTGGAAAGGCAGAGCGAAAGCAAAGACACCGTGACAGACCCCGAATATTATCGGAATGGCAAGGAAGACTTGATTTACATCAGGCTACACGGGCTACAGGGCGCAGAAAGTCATATCCAGACACCACGACTGCGGAACACCACCTTATAACTCAAATTAGTTTTTGCTACTGAACGTAGGCGATCGACCCAGCACTTGTTCAAACCTCGTCCAGCGACTTGTTCACACGACCTTGTTCGACTTCGCTCCTTCGACAAGCCCGACACCTCCCTACGACTCACATTCAACCTCTAGAACGCCGTTCGCTGCCTTACAGA